GTCCCATGTATAGAACGCCAAAAACCACGAAAAATTATAAAAGCGCAGCAACAAGCGTGATCAAATACCACCAAAAAAATGGCTCGAAAGCATTTTTGGCTTCATTTATGAACAGCTCCATTTGGTCATACCAAATTATCCCAGTGTAGAAGGCCCCTTTTTTTTTCAAGGACCCACAGGTGATCAGTTACCACGTCTGCAATTTTGTTGACCCAAAAAGGACGTAAATGGGCAGCATTGCATGACGTGCGCCATACGTGCATTGCATGGCTGTAGCAGCAAGCCCTGCAGCCGTCGCAATTATGTATCTATTATGATTACAGCTGCACAGCGCCATTAACTTAGGTCAGCAAAGGAAAAATGGAGCAGAATACATTTTGAGGCCCAACCAGCTGAAATTTATGACTAATGGTCTTGAAGTTTACGATATAAAAGGTTATAGCTGAAAGTAGAATAAAATTGTTTTTTTTTTTTTCAAGATTTCGTTGTTTATTTTGTTTAATACCCCCCAAAAAAATAAAAAGGCAAGGTGTCAAATAACCATTAAGGGGGGTCAAATTGGGTACCTCTGGGTTTATTGCGCATTTCTGTTTGCAGGTCATCTTTCAGTGTGGTTATAATCTACAGTATCATACAAATACATTCACCGTGACAGCTTCTTGCCATTACAGAATATCATGCAAAGTGGGGCTTATTTTGTGACAAAGCATTGAGTTTACGATATATAACATCAAGATTTTCGTGTTGCCCACCAGGCGCCGAATAATAAAAAGCGCACAGGTGATCTAATACCAGCACGGGGTTTTATTTGTGCTGAACCAAAGGACTAAATTTTGTTTGCAGGACAGCATTGCACTGAGCCGTTATCATTCTGAATAGCTTGCCAACCAAACAGCATAGAAAAAGTGGTGGTTCAGGGAGGGAGTGAATCGGAGTATGATTCCATTGCCTTTAATATGTTTATTTTGGGACAAAGCCATCAACACTCTGGGGCGCTGGCCAGCCACGGGGCCAGGGTGGGTGATAGGATGTGCACGGCGTGGGCAGGGAGGGTTGATATCTGGGGGGGGGGAGGATTACTGGAACTGATCCCCTGTATGGCTCTCTCTGCAGCAGCTAAAAGCTGGCATCTCCTCCTCTCCCTCTTGCTGGATTTTCAGCTGCTACAGATAGAGCCATAGGGCAACTGCAAGTCCACAATAGGATCTTTCAGAATGGAGACTGGGGGAAGTGTCTGATATGTTACATTTGCCAGCCCCTTCCTTTCCTTGGTATCAATCACTCACTGTGTTCATTTATAACCAGGGTGGATTTGATTTAAATCAAACTGATTTAAATCACGATTTAAATCACTAGTCAGTAAGGCTTGATGTAAATCCTAGTTTTCTACATAAAGACTAATTCTTGCTGGTATAACTTTAATATGCAAGTAGATGAAGATTTTTAGAATAACAACTTTTCATATTAGTTTTTTTATCCCCAGTTTAATAGGTTAATCATTCATATTTGGACAACTTTTCTGTTGTACTTAGGAAGGAGAAAAATAATCATTACCTTAATAATAACAATTTAAATAGATTTTTTTTATTCAACTGAAACAATAACATTCCAGCATATGTGATTTGCTTAAACATCCATGTTTGTTAACTAATTTGGCTAAACAAAATATATATATTTTAGAAACTTATACTGTCAGCCCCTTCCTCCTCACACTTAGTTTCACTTTCTTCTTGTGCAGATCTATTCCACTCCAAACAATCAGAAAAATATTGTTTCTATTCTATTCACTGAACTTCTTGAAACTTAGCACTGAAGGGGTTGATTCTGTATTCATAGGTTTGTAGAAGTTAGGATGAAGGTCTTTTCTTAACTCTGTTCATGTTATAACATTTTTGCTGTGAAGAAGAAGAGGCATGTGATCTCCGCTGAGTCAAATTCAGTTTTGAGAACTGCAAAAGTAAACCAAAACATCTGTGATAATATCTTGTAGGCAGAGAAACTGCCCAATAATCTTACAAAAACCTCTGGAAGAGCATGACATTGTGAATGGATTCATGGAATTTATTTACCAAAAAAATTAACCATATACATCCTTATTCTACATAATTAAAAAACTAATCTTTATTTCATGATGGAATAACCTTTGGATGGTAATATATTTTCCTCAAAAAGCATTTTATTTAAAAAAATCCGATTTAAATAAAAAAAAATCCGATTTAAATAAAAAAAATCTGATTTAAATAAAAAAAAATCCGATTTTTTTGATTTTCTTAAAAAAATCATTGATTTTTATCTACCCTGTTTATAACTGAAGCACAGTAAAACTGTGTTTTTTTTTTTTTGGGGGGGGGGGGGCTGTCCTGTAAAGTTGGCTGTATGGGGCCCCATGGGTTCTAACTTTAGCCCTGGGCAGCACTAAGGTTGTTGGTTTGAATCCCAACCATGGCACTATCTTCCTGGACTTTGCATGTTCTCCCTGTGCCTGTGTGGGTTTCCTCCCACACTCCTGAGACTGGTAGGTTAATTGGCTCCTGTCTAAATTGGCCCTAGTATGTGTATGAATGTGAGTTAGGGACCTTAGGATCGTATGCTCCTTGAGGGTTATGGACTGATGTGAATGTACAATATATATGAAAAGCGCTATATAAGTACCTGTAATAAAACATAAAACATGTCTACGTGGTCTACAGCCATCTCACAAAGTTCACAGTCGCACATTGTGTCTTTTCACAGGTCATCAGCCTCTGACCATTTCCTCTCTAGCATGTCCAAGTCCCAAAACATTTCCTGTAGCATTATTGAAGTCTCTGACACTCCCCTGTAGTATGTACACAGTATATGACAGTCATTTGTAAACACTGCCCCTAGGTGAGATCAGAGGCCCCCTGCTCCCTAAGGGGACATCACCATGGTGCCCTACACTCACATACAACGATGGCGTCACACCAGCCCCACTATCTGCATCAGAAGAGGACCCTACAGGTGATGCCACCAGTTTTAGGACATTTGGAAAAGGTAGGTGTAAACGCAAAAGCCAACAAATTCTGGTAGGTTGGGCAAAGTTTGGCTGTAAAGTAATTTTAATGTATTTTTTAGTACATTTTTGTTTCTATAATGCCCCACTCCTCCTGTCAATCATCCTGACATTTCCTGCATGAACTGATGGAAGGCTAACCTATCTAGCATTATCAGTCAGCGTTCCTTATCTCTGTGATCAGGATTCTCCTCGCCTGCAGAAAAGAGTGATTTCCTTCTCAGTTTTCACTTTCGTGCTATCCACTCCCTCATATCTAAAATTCATTACGATGCTGCCGATTGTCTCTTTTTTTTTCCCCCTTTGTTGGCCATCATGATTTTTTTCTGTATAATGTTTGAAGGGGTTCTGTGTCATTGCTCATTTGCTTTTCAAGTTGTAGAATCTGGAGCTATTACCCTGACCCTGTCTCCACTACCTTGTTATTTACTGACCTGGAACAAGCATGCAGCCAGTAAATTCTGAAAAATTGGAACTCCCGCCCTGCATATATGTTTGATGTCATTGATTTATTGAATCCCAAATCCAGGATTAGGGTGACCACTATGGAATCCCCAGTTTAAGCCCGGGTTCACATATCACATATGTGCGGGGCGGTATATTGCATGTGATTTGCACAGGAACCGCACCGTACTCTTGTGCAAATCACATGCGATTTGTGTGCAGTGCGATTGGAGCCATACATTTTGTATGGCTCTAATCGCACCGCACCCGCAACAAAAAGGTGCAGGATCCTTTTTTTGGTCTGCACTAGAATCGGATCGCATGGGTATTCACACCTATGCAATCCGATTCTGCACATCGCCCCGCGTTTTGCAGACTGCTTTCGGGGTGTTGTTAGCTTAACATACACACCTGCATCGGTTCGCATGAATGGGGTGCGATTCTGATGCAGTGCGGAATTCGCACAGAAAACGCTGCAAAATCTGCACCGCATCAGTGTGAACCCGGGCTTAGAAACAAGACTCCCATTATTTCTAGACACTTCCCTGGTCCTCTAATATTGGCATATACCAAGTGACAAGCACAAATTAACCTCTTGGCGCCGGCCGCAACCAACTGTGCGGCCTCCCGACATCTGGGCTAATTTTACATGGAACATTCTGTAATACACAGCTCACCACGCTGCACCCTGCTCACAAACGGTACGACACCAGAGATATTTTTAGCTGTCCATAAAGGTGGCATTTTGATCACCATTGTAAGGAGAATACTCTGCCCAGTGACCACCAATGTAAGAAGCATTCTTCCCACTGATCACCAATGTAAGAAGCATTCTTCCCACTGATCACCAATGTAAGGAGCATTCTTCCCACTGATCACCAATGTAAGGAGCATTCTTCCCACTGACCACCAATGTAAGAAGCATTCTTCCCACTGATCACCAATGTAAGGAGCATTCACTGACCACCAATGTAAGGGGCATTCTTCCCAGTGACCACCAATGTAAGGGGCATTCTTCCCACTGACCATCAATGTAAGGGGAATTCTTCCCACTGACCACCAATGTAAGGGACATTCTTCCCACTGACTACCAATATAAGGAGCATTCTTTCCCACTGACCACCAATGTAAGGAGCATTCTTCCCACTGATCACCAATGTAAGGAGCATTCTTCCCACTGATCACCAATGTAAGGAGCATTCTTCCCACTGATCACTAATGTAAGAAGCATTCTTCCCACTGATCACCAATGTAAGGAGCATTCTTCCCACTGACCACCAATGTAAGGGGCATTCTTCCCAGTGACCACCAATGTAAGGGGCATTCTTCCCACTGACCATCAATGTAAGGGGAATTCTTCCCACTGACCACCAATGTAAGGGACATTCTTCCCACTGACTACCAATATAAGGAGCATTCTTCCCACTGACCACCAATGTAAGGAGCATTCTTCCCACTGATCACCAATGTAAGGGACATTCTTCCCACTGACCACCAATGTAAGGGACATTCTTCCCACTGACTACCAATATAAGGAGCATTCTTCCCACTGACCACCAATGTAAGGAGCATTCTTCCCACTGATCACCAATGTAAGGGACATTCTTCCCACTGATCACCAATGTAAGGGACATTCTTCCCACTGACCACCAATGTAAGGAGCATTCTTCCCACTGATCACCAATATAAGGGACATTCTTCCCACTGACCACCAATGTAAGAAGCATTCTTCCCACTGACCACCAATGTAAGAAGCATTCTTCCCACTGACCACCAATGTAAGGAGCATTCTTCCCACTGACCACCAATGTAAGGGACATTCTTCCCACTGACCTCCAATGTAAGGAGCATTCTTCCCACTGATCACCAATGTAAGGGGCATTCTTCCCACTGACCTCCAATGTAAGGGACATTTTTCCCACTGACCACCAATGTAAGAAGCATTCTTCCCACTGACCTCCAATGTAAGGAACATTCTTCCCACTGACCACCAATGTAAGAAGCATTCTTCCCACTGACCACCAATGTAAGAAGCATTCTTCCCACTGACCTCCAATGTAATGAGATTGTAAGCTCTAAGGAGCCGGGCCCTCTGTTTCCTCTTGTACCAAATTGTATTGTAACTGTAATGTCTACCTTCATTTTGTAAGGCGATGCACAAACTGTTGGCACTTTATAAATACTGTATAATAATAATACAAAATAATGAGCATTCTTCCCACTGACCACCATTGAAAGGTACATTTTTTCCATGACCACCAACATAAGGGGCATTCCTCTCACTGACTCTTGATAAACTAATTTTAGTTTAGCAAATTATTTAAATGGTCCCTGAGGGGTAAAAAGGTTGAGAAAGGCTAATCTAAGGGATGGTACAAATTCTTGTGTATATAATAATGTGGCTGCCAGTTGGATATACTGTATACTCAGCAACCCCATGACCTTGACTCAGTTATATCTCTATATCCTTGTTTTTTAGTGACCTAGATGTCCCCATTACCATTACTGTCAAATGTCATTTTGTTGTTGTATTATTTGCCTTTAATTAGCCTTTGGCTGTACACTTCTGTTGAGCAACAACACAATGACTGTTCCTATTATTAATGATGGCAGTGTTGTTGCTCATTTTTACAGTATCTCCTCTGTTCTACAACACTTTATTTCTTTCTATAATAATAGAACATTCCTTCTACTGGTGATTCAGCGAAGCGAACTCCATAATTCACCCCACTGTGCTATGCCACCTTCCACCCTGAGGGCTCCATCCCTCTGCAGTGGGATCTGACAGATATGCAAATCATGTTCATTTCCAACTCAAGGTTATACACAAATACACTACATCAGGTTTCGGAATATACAGGTGGAGTTCAGAATGGCTGTTTTGCAGATTATAAGCTGGAACCATTGAAATAACTTTCCAGATTCAGGGAACCCCTACTAATAATTACTATATCTACAGCTTTAGTGCATTAGTGTAATAGTCATTGGGAAGAATGCTCCTTACATTGGTGGCCATTGGGAAGAATGCTCCTTACATTGGTGGTCAGTGAGAAGAATGCTCCTTACATTGGTGGTCAGTGGGATGAATGCTCCTTACATTGGTGGTCAGTGGGAAGAATGTTTCTTACATTGGTGGCCAGTGGAAAGAATGCTCCTTACATTGGTGGTCAGTGGGATGAATGTTTCTTACATTGGTGGCCAGTGGGAAGAATGCCCCTTACATTGGTGGTCAGTGGGAAGAATGTTTCTTACATTGGTGGCCAGTGGGAAGAATGCTCCTTACATTGGTGGTCAGTGGGAAGAATGCTTCTTACATTGGTGGTCAGTGGGAAGAATGCTTCTTACATTGGTGGCCAGTGGGAAGAATGCTCCTTACATTGGTGGTCAGTGAGAAGAATGCTCCTTACATTGGTGGTCAGTGGGAAGAATGCTTCTTACATTGGTGGCCAGTGGGAAGAATGCTCCTTACATTGGTGGTCAGTGAGAAGAATGCTCCTTACATTGGTGGTCAGTGGGAAGAATGCTTCTTACATTGGTGGCCAGTGGGAAGAATGCTCCTTACATTGGTGGTCAGTGAGAAGAATGCTCCTTACATTGGTGGTTAAAGAGAAGAATGCTCCTTACATTGGTGTTCAGTGGGAAGAATGCTCCTTACATTGGTGGTCAGTGAGAAGAATGCTCCTTACATTGGTGGCCAGTGGGAAGAATGCTCCTTACATTGGTGGTCAGTGGGAAGAATGCTCCTTACATTGGTGGTCAGTGAGAAGAATGCTCCTTACATTGGTGGTCAGTGGGATGAATGCTCCTTACATTGGAGGTCATTAGGAAGAACGCTCCTTACATTTGAGGTCAGTGGAAATACTGCTCCTTACATTGTTGGCCAAATGAGAAGAATGCTCCTTACATTGGTGGCCAGTGAGAAGCATGCTCCTTACATTGGTGGTCATTAGGAAGAATGCTCATACATTGGTCGCCAGTGGGAAGAACATCCGTACAGATGGAGGGAAGGATCTGTGGGGTCAGTGGGAACTTTCTGAAGGGCAGAAATTGCTCATTGCTCAAGGAACCCCTAATAACCTTTGGAGGAACCCTATTTCCCAACTAGGGCATAGAAGTCAGAAAAAAAAACAACTTACAAAGAATTTTAAACTTTCACTACTATATCTAAAACAGAATAAAAAAACTTTGTCTAGACTTTAAATTCTAAATCCAAGGTCTAATGTTCTACATACTGTAAGTAGTTATTTCATAGCTAGCTTAGCTTCCAGTAAAGTCTGTGTAGACTTTACAGTGATTCGGTGATGAGTGTAGGTTGTGTGTTTACACAGGGGTAGGGTTCTGTATAAACGTGAAGTGCCAGATTCTGAGGAGGAATGACATACAATATGAGCAGTGCTGGTGCTCCCTAAGAGTAGCGAAAGAGGATAAAGCAGCCTTCCCAGGTTTTTCTGCGATTCGGCACGTCCCTACGGACATCAGATATTGTGTACATATTTGTCTCGGGTTCTCAGAGCTTCCAGCTGGCAATAGGAGCCAACCTCCATGATGAATCACTAACATATTCCAAATTCTAGGCTGATAGATCTCCAACACTGATTCTTTGAAGGCCAAAAAATTATTATTTTATTGCTATAATTTTCTTCTGCAATACTGAACTATTAGGCCTACGTTAGATGTGCAGCAAAGGGGTACTAAGACCAGAGGGTTGGTATATGTTTTTTACCTCCCCTGGCTGCCCACCTAAAACTGCCACTTGACTTTCTCACAGTAGAGGCACAGTCCTTCTAGTGAGATCCTAAGAATGCTTAGTGTCGTACGAGAAGATGTCCCAATGTAGTGTAGTAAAAGCTGTATGAGAAAAATATAAAGGCTGTCTACATTGACAGCCCATCTCATAGGGGTCTTATCTCCAACATTTGTAAATTCTTGAACATGCACATTTATATGAAAATATGGCTGACAATCTAGGAAAGACACCTCCTGTTAGAAACATGGACACAGACCCAAAAAAGTTCCTTATGTACAGTATATAAAGAAAATGCGTATAAAATTATGAAACATTGGTACAACATTCCAAAAAAAAATCATGAGCTTTATAGCACCTTTAGTATTTTATACAGGAGATGTACAAAAGAGTAGGTTCTCTATACCACATCCTGTAGACCTATCCAGGGGCCACCACATGCTGGTGAGAAGTTGATAAAATTATTTCAAGATCTCTGACCAGCTTATAAAATGAGTCCCAATGGCCCATCTCTTAGGCTTACTGATATACGGCTTACTCATAGGTGCCATCTGCCATTTCACCACACCATCCTCCTATGACTGGGTCTTATTGTTGTATGGAGTGTTCTGGACTCTTTGTATTTATGGACTTATTCGTCAACTTTTCACAATCTACATAACCAAATTACAGCTGGCCACCAACCAGAAGTTGACAACAAAACTGACTCAATGCTGAACTTTAAGAAAACCTGGGACTCACATTTGCTAATGCCCTACACTGGCCAAGGCTAGATAGCCCTTTAAGACTCTTTGGACCTTGTAGCCTCTTGGCTCTTCTGCCGCCACCGCGCCAACCATTGCCCTTCCCACTCTTTGATCCAAAAACTGCTTGCTTCAAACTGTTCTGTTCGAATTACATTCTGTTGTACAATGTTATCCTGATGTTGGGTTTCATTGTTATGAAAGACCCAATACAACCCAACCCAATCCTGATGTTGGGTTTCATTGTTATGAAAGACCCAATACAACCCAACCCAATCCTGATGTTGGGTTTCATTGTTATGAAAGACCCAATACAAATGAAATTGTACTGTTGCTATGTAGGCTACAGTAGGCTCTTTACATGTGATGACAAATTTTTCGCTTGTCTTTTTTTTCCCCTAAAAAAAAATTGAAAAAAAAAGCTAGACATACATGGTTAGATTTTTGAAAACAAGAATAGGAAAACAATTCAGCGCTACACAATTAAACACAATCACACACCATATAAGATTAGACCATACAATTGTGTAAAAGTCTCTGAAAAAAGTCCACCGCATCATTCTGCAATATGTCTTCCATGCTTCTGAAGGAAATACTGTGTCACTGCCACCAAGATCCACACCTCTGTGTAAAATGCTCACTCACTGACATTCCTGTGACCCTTACTTGACTAAAGGTCAAAAACCGCTTTATAATATAATTACCAGATGATCAGTGCCCAGCAGTGCCACCCACCAGTGCCGCCCACCTGTGCCCAGCAGTGCCACCCAAAAGTGCCCAGCAGTGCCACCCACCTGTGCCCAGCAGTGCCACCCACCAGTGCCGCCCACCTGTGCCCAGCAGTGCCGCCCAAAAGTGCCCAGCAGTGCCACCCACCTGTGCCAAGCAGTGCCACCCACCAGTGCCCCCCATCAGTGCCACCCATCAGTGCTGCCCAGCAATACCCATCAGTGCCGCCTATCAGTGCCCATCATTGTTGCATATCAGTGCCTTCTGATCAGTGCCAGCTCATCAGTGCCATCTATCAGTGCTGCCTATCAGTGCTGCATATCCGTGCCACCTCATCAGTGCCGCCTATCAGTGCCCATCAGTGCCTCCTATCAGTGCAGCCTAATCAACGCACATCTGTGAAGAAGAAAAATGACCTGAGAGTATAAAAAAATACAGTGAGCGCTCCAATGGTCAGCAGCTGAACATTCAAGGAAAACACATAAAAGTTCCAAAAATATATATATTAAGAAAATGCAGCGCTGTGTGATGTTACTATATTGCTGAGGATCCTCAGCTCTACCTCTGAAGAAGTGTGTGCGCTCAAAACGCGTCAGAGGGAGCCCAGGATGCCATTGACACTACGCCGCCGGTGCCACGTGGAGGCCCGGCAGCCATCTTTAATCTTAAAGGGTCAGTCATTTGATTAAACCTGGCACCATTCTTCTGCAGACCCAGATTGATCCCTGCACCAGCCTTTGAGAGGAGGAATTTTCCACTTCACACACTTCTGTAAGGATTTCTGTGACCTGCTGGACCTCCATTTCGCCACACGAGGGTGCTTCATCTCTACTATCTTCAGCTCCTGCCCATTACCAGACCAGAATAGAGAGGGGAATCTCCATATCATATACACATGCGTATTATTAATACGTTTCTGGTTAGTGCGCATTTCTAACTTTTGCACTGGGAATCAGCGAGCACCATTACTGGACTGAAATTTATTTATTTATTGATTTTTTTATTCATTTATTCATTTGCTTTGGTTTCATTTATTATTTATATTTGCCCGCAATATAGTAAACATCACACAG